AGTGAATGCAGGAGTTTAATTTGCAGGTGGAGAGTAGATAAAAGGTGCTGACGCCTCTATTATTCTCTTACTTAGGTGACCCTTACCCCGTTCAGCTGATCCCGACAACCATGGCAGCTGCTGCCGCGGCAACCCCCGGCTTAGGCCCACTCCAACTGCAGGTAAGTCTGGGTACAATGCCGGGAGAGGTGAAAGGTTAAATAAATATGGAAAACAGTTTTCTCTCCCGTTCGAACCCAACCAAATTCACAATGTGCTTTTCTCTTCTCCCCCCCCCCTCTTTTTTTTTTTAAACAAAACGAATTTTTGATTTCTTTTTTTTTAAACAAAACGAATTTTTGGCACACACACCCCCTCCCCTTTCATTTACAAATCTACATCTGGAGATGCTTTCTTTTCACCTGGAAGAAGGGGGATTTTCAAAATGCTGCTCCCACACCAGTGTTAATTGTGATTCTTTTTTTTGGCTTAGCAGGCGAATAATGATAATAATAACAGGACGCGCATGTGCCCTCCTCTCCTCCTCTTCCCCCCCCCCAATCCGATAGTTCCAAGTCTTATAGCGACTGTAACGCAGCGGCAAGCAGGGAGAATAGCACAAATTGATCGCCTCCTTCTCGAGATATGAGCATTCAGAGCCATCCAAACAAAACTGACAGATTTGGTTAAAGAGGAATGAAAGGCTCGTGTTTCGTACAGGACATAAATAGAACCTGTGTGTGGGGACGGACATGGCTTTGGAAAATACTGGACAAAACCTCATAAGTCTCTTTTATTTATTTTATGTCATTTACTTCATTTCCTTTCTCCCCAGTGGTGATCCAAAGTGGCTTACACCATTTTTGTTTTGGGGGGGGTTGCCAGGTCGCCTCTTTACGCTGGCGGGAAGATTTGGGGACATTCCGGGACATATCCGACATGATTACGTCACCTGGAAGCAGCCATGCTCTGGTTTGGGGGCAAAACTCTGTGGTAAAACTGGCTTCGGTCCATAGAGTTTTGTCCTCAAAACAGAGCATTGTTGCATGACACCCCTGTCATGACGATATCACTTCCGGGTGATGTCATTCAGGGCTCTTTTTGTAGAAAAAGCCCGGCAGGAACTCATTAGCATAATAGGCCACACCCAACATCAGAAACTCATTAGCATATTGGGCCACACCCCTGACAGCACAACTCATTGGCATATTAGGCCACACCCCCATGTTACCAGAAGTGTGGTCATCCAGCCACACCCACCTTTTGCTTCTTATTCTGTTTACCTTGTTTGTTGTCAAAACCCAGGGCTTTTTTGTAGCAGGAACTCCTTTGCATGTTAGGCCACACACCCATAATGTAGCCAGTCCTAATGAGTTTCTGCTGTTGGGTGTGGCCTATTATGCTAATGAGTTCCTGCTGGGTGTGGCCAACTTGGAAGCCAGCCGGAACTCCGTTCCTGTGCGTTCCTGCCCCAAAAATAGCCCAGTGCATCGGGGACGTCACACAGCAACATCTCTGTTTGGGGGTGGGGACCTGGAAAATGACAACGCTATATTTTTTTCGGACATTTTTTCCTGACAACAACCGTGTGAGGTAGGTCACACTGAGGGAGTATGATCGGCCTAAGGTTACCTAGTGAGCTTCCGTGGGATTAGTGGGGATTCAAACTCCAGTCTTCCAAATACCAGTCCAACACTCTCAACCACTGCACCACGTTGGGCCTCTTTGACTTGATGGCCACAATGGATGTGTGTTTTTGGTTTTCAAAGGCTGAGTATGAATAGGGCTGCCAACTGATCTCCAGAGCAGTGTTCCCTCTAAGCTGAGTTGGTGTGAGCTAGCTCACAGTTGTTTAGCCTCTGGCTCCCCCATAAGAACATAAGAACATAAGAGATGCCAATGTTGGATCAGGCCAAAGGCCCATCCAGTCCAACACTCTGTATCACACAGTGGCCAGAAATACCAGTGCCATCAGGAGGTCCACCAGTGGGGCCAGGACACTGGAAGCCCTCCCACTGTTGGCCCCCCCCAAGCACCAAGAAGACAGAGCATCACTTGCCCCAGAGCCCCTATCTATACCTTGTGGCTAATAGCCACTGATGGACCTCTGCTCCATATGCTTATCGAATTCCCTTTTGAACCCATTTTTGTCTTAGCCCGGGAAGGAGTGCTCCAGAGCAAACTGATTCATGCAGTAGCCGAGTCGCTCGCTGACAACTTTAATGCCAGTAGCTCACAAAGTTGAATTTTGGCTCACAAGACTCTACAGCTTGGAGGGAGCATTGCTCCAGAGTACAGAGGTCAGCTCCTCTAGAGAAAACGGCTGCTCCGGAGTGGGGGCCCCGTGGCATTATACCTCACTGAGGCCCCTCACCTCGTCCAATCCTGCCACCCCCCAGGCTGGGTTGCTCAGACTGCTCGATGTGCTCAAACCACCCTGCGGAAAGCATCCGTCTGAACTTGCTGGTCGCCTTTTAGCATCTGTTTGCTGATTCCGGTACTTGGGGCAAAAGTCCTGCCCATCTAAGAGGTGGGATGACCTAGTCGTAGTGAGAAAGTTGGGGGATTCCAGCCTAGCCCTGAGCCGTGCGTGACATAACATCAGCATAATAAGCCACTCTTAATGGGCAGGGGAGAAGACGGGGGACAATTAAGACGGAGCTCTTGTGCAGTTTAGTCAGCTGAGTGCCAGAGAAAGCCCCTGTCAGTGTGTAAGCTGGCAGAGGTTAACATATTCGCCCCTATTGTGCTTTTATATGAAAAGCGACACTGTGGTTTCGCCTCTGATTGTATGGGATACAAATACCCTAGGCAGTACGAGAATCATGGGAGCTTTTTTAAAGAAGAAGACGAAGAGGAGGAGGAGGAGGAGGAAGAAGAAGAAGAAGAAGAAGAAGAGAAGCAGCAGCACTGCCTATGCCTGCCTTCCTCCTGGAATGATTTCTGTTCTTCTAAATGTAGTGGATGTCAGACTCCTGCAGCAATCAGTCCCCAACAGCTTTCACTCGAAGAAGTAAAGTTTATTGAGACTTTGAGAGTATGCAGATCTCTTAACCATTTTGTGTTAGAACTAAAGGAAAGCACGCACAATAGGCAGTTATACATTATTCAAGGGGACCCCCTGTTGGCCCAGGGCCAATCAGGGATCAGGTAGAAGCCTGCTACTTTTCCCGAGAGAAATGCTACACCAGGCACTGAAGGTCAGACAGAGATAATAGAAACACAGAAGACACAGCAGAATTGAAACTTAATGTTCCAGAGTCACCCCCACTCCCATGGCAGCCAGGGCTTGAGAAAGGCCTAGCTGACACGGGATAGGGTTCTTCTAAAGTGGTACAAATAGTCGCAACCAAATACAAAACTGGGAGGGAAGAGAGTGAAAGGGAAGTTCCCAGCAGAGCCCTGGTGAAGTCAAGAGCTCTTGCAGGGCTTTCTTTCTGTGGTCACTTTCTATGGTCACTCTGAATGAAAATAAAGCCCCCTGTTCCATTTTGGGGTCGCCAGCCTCCAGGTAGCACTTGGAGGTCTGCTGCGATTACAGTTGATCTCCAGGTGACCAAGGTCAGTCCCTCAGGAGAAAATGACTCCTTTGGAGGGCCGACTCTATGGCACTGTTCCCTCTAAGCCACGTTAGTGTGAGCTAGCTTACAGTTTTTTAGCTTCTGGCTCCCACCTTTTTGTCTTAGCTCAGGGAGGATGGTTACAGAGCAAACGAATGTATGCAGCAGCCAAATGGCTGGCTCACAACTTTAATGCCAGCAGTTCACAAAGTAGAATTTTTGCTCACGAGACTCCACAGCTTAGAGGGAGCATTGGCGCGAAGTAATTTTTTTTTCCTTCTGAAAAGGAGGCGATGGGCCAAATAAGTTTGGGAACTTCTGCTCTATGGCATTGTACCCTGCTGAGGTTCCCTCCCCTACCCAAACCCTGACATCCCCAGGGTCCACTCCCAAAATCTCCAGGTATTTCCCAACCCAGACCGGCAGTGCTATCTATTATGAGTCCGTTTTTCAATGCTTAGTTGAGTAAGGCAGAATCCAAATGGTCGCCACCATCAGTGAAAATAGAGGCATTTTGCAGATGCTGTTGGTTTTATGGAAACCCATGTTTTTAAAAGTGATGGTTAAGAACATAAGAACATAAGAGAAGCCAATGTCGGATCAGACCAATGGCCCATCCAGTCCAACACTCTGTCACACAGTGGCCAAAAATACCAGGTACCATCAGGAGGTGCAGCAGTGGGGCCAGGACACTAGAAGCCCTCCCACTGTTGCCCCCCCCCCAAGCACCAAGAATACAGAGCATCACTTGCCACAGACCAAAAGTTCCTACCTATACCTTGTGTCTCATAGCCACTGATGGACCTCTGCTCCATATGCTTATCTAATTCCCTCTTGAAGCTGTCCATGCTTGTAGCCGCCGCCACCTCCTGTGGCAATGAATCTCATGTGTTAATGAACAATATGCCCTCTGACATTTGGCCGACCAAATTCAGGTTGCCAGCTCTGGGTTGGGAAATTCCTGGAGATTTGGCAGTGGAGCCCCCTAGGAAGGGTGGGGAATCCCAACCAATACAAACGATATAACATTAATGATATTCTTGATTTTCTATTCATCTGAAACGTAACCATTTAAAACTCTTAACATGTTTTCTAATATGGGTTAGCAGCCATCTTATATAAATGAAAGAACCTGAGTTCAACTAGCTAGTATTTACTGACAAAAGTTAAAACATACTCTAAGTCTGGGGTTTATAGAATAAACACTTCAGATGAAACTAAGTCATCAGGAATCGTTCCATTCTGTCCCATGGAAGTTATGACCGGAAACCATTTTTCAGCAAAAGTTGATTGCTAGTTTTTATGTTCAAGTTGTAATAGTCTATTTGTAATTTTTTTCTAAAATATAACAGTCCCATATCTTAGGTTGCAGTCACATGCAACAGAAAAAATGGGGGGGGGGAAGCGAGGCTATTTCCTCTGGAGGAATTTGACCCCCAGTTGCACGATCACACCTCCCTTTCAAGCTGCGGGTGCAGTCCGTAAGTGTGGGATCAGACGCAACTGTGGGTGAGCCTTTTTTGTGTGTGTGCGCCATTTTTTCCCCATGCGCTTAACCGAGGGAATGATGAATCGCACCTCTGCACCGAACTGGCTCCCTGTGGAGTTTGCAATGAGGCGCA